AAATACGGATCACTAGACTACGACTACGATACGGACTACGCCGACGACGACGACGACGACCTACTACTACTACGACGAAGACTACTACTACGACTACTTACTAATACTACTTACTACTATACTACTAATACTATTACTAACGACTACTTACGAAATACGATCGACTACGACCTCGACTACGGGGAAACTACGACTACGACGACCCGACGACGTAAATACGAACTGCTAATACTACGAAGGACGACGACGACGACGACGACGACGACGACGACGACGACGACGACGACGACGACGACGACGACGACGACGACGACGACGACGACGACGACGACGACGACTACTACTACTACTACTACTACTACTACTACTACTACTATTGCTGTTTCCTCCTCCCCCTCCACCACCAGCATCGCCTACCATTCCACCTACCACGCCTGCACGCGCCTTGCGTTCTCCGTCGACCGCGCCGTGCGCGGCGTCGAGCACGGGCGATGGCCCGCAGCCCTGCACCGAATCGGTCGGGCCTGCAAACTTTGAGTTGGAACGCCTCCAAAAAAACGGAGATCGGGGAAAGGGCGTGCGGCTACGCTGCAGGATGGGGGCCGTAATCATCGTGAGGGGGCAGGTTGGAGCCTCGAACTGCTGGTCAAAATGCACCCCAGGGGAGGTCTGGGGGAGCGATGTTTGAGAGGAGGGAACGTGAGGAACAGCAGCAACCAGGGAATAGTGGAAGGGGAGGGGGAGAAGGAAGAGGAGGAGCAGCAGCAGCAGCAGCAGCAGCACAGGAGCAGGAACAACAGCAGCCATATGACGAGAAGCAGCAGGCGGAGGAGCAGGATAATGAGGCACCCGACGAGGAGGAAGAGGGGGAGGAGTTGGGAGCAGGGGGACGACGACGACTCGGAGGGAGAGAGGAGGGGAGCGGAGGGCTGGGTGCTCTGCGGGGGCCAGCACCTCGATCCCGGCTCCCGGCCCCTCGATCCTGGCGCCGCGCCTCGTCGAGCGAGGAGGGCGGCTCGCGCGCGACGTCCGCCGCCGTCAGGGCCAGGGCCCGGGCGGCGACGGCCGTGCGGGCGAGGCTCGTCTCGAGGCCCGTGGACAGGACGACCTGCGCGGCGGGGAGGGGCGGCGGGGCGACGGCGGGGGGGCAGCGAGGCCGGCGAGGCCGCGGGCCGCCGCGGCCGCACGAGCGCCGCGCCGCGGGCACGCGGGTGCCAGCCGTGGCCGGCGGGATCGCCGAGGAGCTCCCTACGGGGCCAAGGAGAGGTGTAGGTGCTGTCCTCGTCGCTGTCGAGGGCCAGCCCAAGGCCGAGTGGTTCCTCCTCGTCGCTTTCGACTTGGTCTGGAGGGATGTCACATGGATCCTCGAATTTTCGATAGTACCCTGGCCATTGTGGGCCTTGGGACTTCGGTGGGGACTCACGAGACGAGGAGGAGGAGGAGGAGGAGGAGGAGGAGGAGCAGGCGCCCCGGCTCGCTCTCGCCCAGTCAGGTCATGCCCGGCTCCCGTACGCAACTCAACCTGGGGGGAGGGTGCATCATATCTGAACCACGGCTGCCCGCTGGATGGAGGAGGAGGCAGATCAGACTAAATCGAGAATGCAACTGAAGCCCCAGCCCAAGACCTCCATACAGGTATGTATACGCACAGACCCACGCAGACCTACATAGACACATTCCGCCAAAAACGATTGTGCTTGTGCGCAGGCTTTCTTTACCTTTGCTGCTCAGTATTGGCCTCAGTCTCCAGGGTTCCGCCCGGTGCCAGCCGGTCTCCGCCTTGTCGCCGCCAGGTGCCTTGGCCTGCGCTTCCGAGCTGCCACCCGTCGCCGCCTCGTGGCCGCCTTCTACACTGGCTCGCGGTCCAGGATGAATCTGGGGCTGGGGGGTGAGATCGCATTGAAACGGAGACCCCCCACCGGGAAATCGGTTTCGGTTTCGTGTTCGTGTTCGTGTCGTGCGGGCGAGGCGAAGCTGCGAAGCTGCGCGAGATCCTCCTGTAGCTAGGGTGTCCCGGGTGTCAGTAGGGGCGAAGTCCATTTCCCGTCTGCCGGTGGCCGGGAGGTGTCCCAGTTAGGACGGCTGGTGTCCCGGGTGTCCGGGGTGTCCCGGCGCTAACGCATGTCGCTAAATTCATAATTCACTTTTTTCGGCGCCTGCGGCGGGCTTTCTTATCCAATCCAGCTTTTCTTATCCAATGCATCTTTCCTATCCAATCCATCTGACCTTATCCAACCCATATTGTCCCATCTTATCTCATCCCACCCAATCCAATCCACCCAACCCAATCCATCAATTCATTTGTTTCTGCGCCTGCGGCGGGCCAATCCAATCCATCTCATGTTATCCTATATGTTTCTTCCAATCCAACACATCTTATCTGATCAAATCCATCTTATCCCATCCAATCCAATCCACACAACCCAATTCATCAATTCATTTTTGTCGGCGCCTGCGGCGGAGAGGGCGAGAGAGAGAGAGAGACACAGAAAGACAGAGAGAGAGAGAGACAGAGAGAAAGAGCAAGATGACATCAAGGTGACAGGCTGGAGGTCAGTCAGGGTGGGCATTTGATCTCAATCCCTCCCCAACCTCCTTCTCGCCCGCAGGGCGGTCGTATAGGTATAGATTCAACTACCTCGGTTCCTTCTCCTAATAGAGATCCCCCCCGTGCCACGAGGCACGAACTGGTGTGCCCCCCCCAGGCTCTTAGAGTTCTCTGTGCTCTGGATTCTGCATTGGGCAGAGAGGCCAAAATCTCAAGTGCGTTCCCGCGCGCTTCCCAGCTTCCCCGCGCGACACTTCCAGAGGCCCGAGGGCCCCAACACGGGCAGAGGCGGCCCCAAGAAACGTCCAAGGAAGCCCAAGAGGCCTCCAAGACCGACCAAGATCGCTCCAAGACGCACGAGATGGCGCATAGACGGCCCAAGAGGCCCGGCCCCAAGAGGGCTTCAAGAGGTCCTTCAGGAGGGTCCCGAAATTGCAAAGTCATTGATTTCCCGTAGGTGTTTGCAACATTTTAGTGATCTCGCCTTCTCGGGCTTTCGACGCTCCAAGACGGCCCAAGAGGCCCCCAAGATCGCCCCATGATGGCGCAAGAGGCCTCCAAGAGCGCCCCCAGACGGCCCAAGATGGCCCCAAGACGGACCAATAGGCCCTCAAGACGCCCCGATAGGGCCCCAAGAAGGGCCCAAGAGAGCCCCAAGAGGGGAAACACGAATCGACATTTCGAGCCCGTTGCACCAAGCTGGCTCCCGAGACCGCCAGCAGGCGCCCAAGAGGTCCCCTACAAGCTCCAGTAGGCCCCCAAGAGGCCGAAATCAGGCCCCCAAAGGACTCCAAGAGACCTCCTCGGAGGCCCCCGAGACACCCCAAAACCGAATCCCAGAGCACTCCGAGCGGCCTCCGAAGAAATCCCCGCAAGCATCCCAGAGACCTCGGACCTACAATCCAGACACGGTGGCGGGATGGGCCGAAGACCACCAGACCCTAAACTGCACCTGGACTCCAAGGTGGCCCCAAATGGACTTCAAGATGCCTCCAAGACGGGCAAGATGGCCCAAGATGGCTTCCAAGTCCGCCTAAGCTGGTCCAAGATGGCTTCCAAGACGGTCCACGAGGGTCCAAGGTGCCTCCAGGACGGCCCAAGAGGCCTCCAAAAGGTCCTCCACGAGGGCCCGCAGAGGCCAAAATCATTGGGTTTCTTAGGTTTGTTTGATGGATGTTGGCATTTGCTTCTTTTCGGCCTTCCGACAGCCAAAGACGGCCCAAGGTGGCTCCAAAATTGCCCTGAGGCTGCCCAAGAGAGCCCCAAGAGCCCTCCAAGAGCTCCACAAGGAAGACTCGAAAGGACGCAATTAATTGTTTGTCCTTCGGTGTTTGAAGGATGTTGGTATTTTCGTCTGTTCAACTCTCCGACGGCCGAAGACAACCCAAGAGGCCTCCAACATCGCCCCAAGAGCGCACAAGAGGCCTCCAAGATGGCCCCATGACAGCCCAAGAGACCCCCGAGAATGCCCCAACAAGACCCCAAGACGGCCCAAAAGGCCCCCAAGACACCCAAGACGGCATCCAAGACGGACAAGATGGCCTCCAAGATGCCTCCAAGACGGCCAAGAAGGCCTCCAAGACGGCGAAGACGGTCCCAAGATGCACCCAAGACGGCCGCAAATGGCCTGAAGATAGCCTTAGACTGCTCAAACGGCCCGCCAGAGGCCTCCAAGACGGCCCAAGAGCCCTCCAAAACGTCCTCCAGGAAACCCGAAAGCTCGGAAACCACCTGGTCCGATAGCTCGCCCGACTCCGTGTTCCCCGAAAGCTTTCGAAACCCACTCGGGGAACGCGTGGCCTGGTAGCTTGGCCAAGCTCAAACCCAACTTTCGGCCACGCAGGCGCTTCCAAAAAGGCAAGGGGCGGCGGTGATTCGCCGTAGGCGTCTTTCGATCCGCCGCCCCCAGGTGATTCATCACTGGGGTGCACGGCGTGCTAAATGTGTAAAAGGTGTTTTTTTTGAAACAAAAAAATCCCAATGGGTCTCGGCCCGGCCCGCCGGCCACCCAAAAAGATCTTCCAAACCCGGTCGGCAAAGATGTTTCCGCTCCAGATGGCTCCAAGATTGCCAAAGATGGCGTCGAAAATAACTAAGATGGCCTCCAAGACGGCTACGATGGGCCAAGATAGCAGCCATGACGGTCCCTAGACGCCACTAAGACGGCCAAGATGGCCCCAAGACGTCCAAAGCTGTCCTCCAGACGGCCCAACAAGAGGCCCCTCAGACGCCCCAAGAGGGCTCCAAGACGGCGCCCACGAGGCCAACGTCATTGAATTGCCATGAGCGTTTCAATGTTCTTGGCGTTCTCGCCTTCTCGGGATTGCGACGCTCCAACACGAGCCCATAGGCCCCCAATATAGCTCCACGACGACCCAGGCGGCTCCCAAGAGGCCCACAAGACGGCCCAAGAGGGCCCAAAGGCAGCCCCAGAGGCTCCCGAGGCGGTCCCAAGACGGCTCAGGAGACCTCCAATTCTGCCCTAAAGCGCCCAAAGAGGACCCCACAACTGCACAGGGAGAGCCCAAGACGGGCTACGAAGGCCAAGAGGCCCCTTAGACGCCCCAAGAGGGCTCCAAAAGGACCTCCAGGAGGTCAAAGTCATTGATTTGTTGCACGTCTTTCAATGATCTCAGCGTTATCGCCTTTTCCGGCATCCGACCCTCCAAGACGGGCCCATAGGCCCCCCAGGGCGCACCAAGACGGTCCAAGAGGCTCCCAAGAGGCCCGCAAGACGGCCCAAGAAGGCCCCAAGACACCCCAAGAGGGCTCCAAGGCGGCCCCAGGAGACCTCCAAGACGGCCCCAAATCGCTCACAGAAGAACCCACGACTGCCCAGGGGAGGCCCAAGGCGGCCTTTGAAGGCCAAGAGGCCCCCTAGACGCCCTGAGAGGGCTCCAAGAGGACCTCCAGGAAGCGGCTCGCCTTTTCGGGATTGCGACGCTCCAAGACCTGCTCATAAGCCCCCCAGGTCGCCCAAACACGGCCCAAGAGGCCCGAAAAACTGCCCAAGGGGGCCCGAAGTCAGACCAAGAGGCCCCAAAGACGGCCCCAAGATGGCCCCAGAGACCTCCAAGACGACCCCAAAGCGGGCCCCAAGACAGCCTCTGAAGGCCAAGGGTACCCAAATCAGTCCCCAGGTGAACCCTTAGAGGCCCCCTAGAGCGCCCCAAAAGGCCCCCAGGAAGCCCCCAGGAGACATCAAGAGGGCCTCAAGAAGACTCCGCTTCTTCATCCGTTTTCTTCTCCTCCCGATCATCCTCCATTATGTTCCTCTCCCCAATTGTCCCCCCAGGGTTACAATAGCTAGGCCAGACGTCGGCCCAACGTTTGGCCGCGTGGGCGTTTCCAAAGGCAGGGGGCGGGGGTGATTCGCAGTAGGCGTCTTAGCTACTCGTTCCCTCTGCTCAGCCTGGACTTCGCGCTGCCCGTCGATTTGGTTTGTAAACTCCCACAGAACACTTTGCATTTAGAGGCTTTCTCCTGTTACGGAGGAATGTGCATTGTTTGCCCGTCTGGTGGTGATGTTGCCGCTTCGCTGCCCCGTTGCCGCCTTGTCGCCGCCCGTCGTCTGGGCCTGCCTGTCGGTCGCCGCGCGTGTTGCCGCCGTCGCCGCCCCGTCGACGCCCTACATAAATTGCACAGCAATTAGTGCGCATGAAAGATTGCACACGGTAGCTCCCACCATAGATTGCACAACCTTGATTGCACACCACATAGACCGCGCACCACGTTTACGTCACATTGATTGCGCCATATCTAAATACTACGAATTAGGCACACACACCACGTATTCCGCAACATAGATTGCACACCGCATGCTGCATCATACAGACTACAACCCATCGATCGCCCCACATGTATCTCTATAAATAGGTTCCAAAAAAAAAGAATGCGCAATACAAGTCACAGCAGTTATTTTGCACAATGTGAACTGCACAGCCTAGACTGTACCAACTTTATTGTTCCACGTGGACTGCACAACGCGTATTTCACCACATAGACTGCACCACGTGGATTACACAAACCATGCATGGAGTGCAGCATATTGGTTGCCTCACAGAGATTATCCTTTTAAAGAGAATTACGTTTTACCACCCTCCCCCCCCCAGGGTTACAGACCCCCCGGGAACCGATGCAAAACACATAAGGTGCTGACCCAATGTCCATCCTACCTGTGAGTCCATATTATCCCAGCCAGGCCGGTATCGCCCCTCCCCCCCATCCTTTGCAACAGAAAAGTATGCGCGCGCACTCGTTTATCAAACATAACAAGTTGTCAAATTCCCTTGCAAAAAAACGGGAGGAGGTGCACACGCGCGCGTCGTCGCGCGCGCAGCATTCCAGAATCCTCAAAAAAAACCAGCAGTTTGGGAAGGAATTTCAAAATCGAGTGCCCAAAAAACACTTCAAACAAAAAACGCAGGTTTCGCAACACGGATTTTCCCCCACCAAAAAACATGCGCGCGCTCTTGCGAATTCTTGAGAAAACCATGGGCGTTCATTTGCACAAAATCATAATGTTCTACTAAGCGGGCTGCGCGCGCATGTCGAAGTCGTTCGAACGCCCTTGCGCGCGTGCCGTCGCGAGAATCCTCTGCAAAAGTGGGACGAAGTACACGCGCGTGCGTCGTCGCGCGCGCACGCCGAAAACCTTCAAAAACCTTTGGTTCTGGAAAAAATCAAAATCGAGTGTCCAAAAAACATACAACAACACAAGGTTTCGCAACACTGAGTTTCAGCAAAAACGTGCGCGCGCTTTTACAAATTCTTTTTCACTACACGCAGAAAACCCAAGTTCATCAACATGTTCATACAATTCTACCAAACGGGCTTCGCGCGCGCATGTCGAACTCGTTCGAACGCCCTTGCGCGCGTGCTGAGGTGGCACGGTCCGTGTGTAATGATACCATGAAGGCCACTCTCGCGCCTCTGCCGCGCGCGCATTCCGAATCCCTGTCGGGACCTTCATCACCGACGCGAAAACGCCGTCATCGTCGTCGGCGTGATCGGCATCAGCGCCGTCACTGGCCGTGCCGTCGTCGCTGCCAGCATCGTCACCAACATCGCTACTATCATCATCAACATTATCATCATCATCATCATCACCAGCATCATCATCATCATCGTCATCATCATCATCATCATCATCATCATCATCAGTATCGTGTCTACCAGTGCCGGCGTTGCTATGATACCGCACCCGCCCAAGTCGCCGACTCACACTCTCGCGCCCACCTGGATGTGCCGGGCGGTCAGCACCACCGCGGCCGCATCGTTCGCGCCAAACTACCTGGCCGCTGCGCGCGCGCATGCGCGGGCTGGCGCGGCCGCAGAGATGCACCAGCCAGCGCCAAGCACTCATCGCAATCGCCGCCGCGTGAGGTTTGCAAACCAAGTTGCGGGCGGTTGGGTGGGATGTTTGTGCGAGCAATGGACTAGACAACTCCCGGCGAACAGAAATTGCTTGCACCACGTAGAACGCACCACCAATACTGCGCAGCATAGATTGCACACTCGATTGCGCACGGCATAAATCGCACAATCTAGACTGCACCACCCAAATTGTTCAACATAGGTTGCACCTTACATTTTGTACATCATAATCGCACCAAGTTTTTAATGCACCACATAGGGTGCACAGCATAGGTTCTCCTTTCTAAAGGAGGAATAGGATATACCCCCCAGGGGGTTAACTGGCCATCTTTTTCGTATTGCAATTTGAATACGGCTCTGTCCCATCGCCCATCCGAACTACAAACTTATACCATCCCAGGCAGGCCGCGATCTGTTCCCCCCCCTTTTTCGCCCCATGCAACAGCAATCTGCGCACACACTCACTTACAAAAAACACTTCCCAACAATCCCGTGCACAAAAAGAACGACGTGCACACGCGCGCGTCGTCGCACGCGCATGCCGAAATCAGTCAAACACCTTGGGTTTCGTAAGGTGTTTGAATCGAGTCCCCCCCCGGAAAAGAAAACAAAAATCTGGATTAACAACAAGGGTGTTAAAACCTGCGCCCGCGCTCTTGCAAATACGAAAAAACATCAAAACATTGCAACATGTTCGTAGAATGCGACCAGACGGGCGACTCGCGCGCGAATGTAGAAATTTTCCGAACGCCCGTGCGCGAGAGCTGCCGCAAGAAAGCCCTGCAACAACTGAGACGATGTGCGCACGCGCGCGTCGTCGCGCGCACATCCCGAAATCCCCAAACAAAACCGAAGTTTCGCAAGGACTTCAAAAAAAAACCTGCGCCCGCGGACTTGCGGATTCAACCTGTTCACTAAATTCTGCCAAACGGACCTCGCGCGCCGCATGTCGAACTCAGTCGAACGCCCTTGCGCGCGTGCGTGTGTGTGGGGGGGGGTACGATCCGTGTCAAATCATGCCACGCGGGCCACTCGCGCGCGTCGGCCGCGCGCGCATGTCGAACTCCTTCAAGAACCGTCATCGCCGACGCGCGGACATCGTCATCTTTATCGGCGGGCGTGATCAACATCGGCGCCGTTAGTGGCCTGGCCGTCGTCATCGCCACGATCGCCACCATCGTCGCTACCCGCATTATCGTGTTTCCGTTGTCGGCATCGCCATGATACCGCGCCCGCCCGAGTCGCCGACTCGCACTGACGTGCGCGCTGGGAAGTGCCCGGCGGTCAGCGCCACCGCTGCCGCGCCGGTCGCGCCAATCTAGCTGGCCGCTATGCGCGCGGACATGCGCGGGATAGCGCGGCCGAAGAGATGCATCAGCCGACGCCACACACTTATTGCAATCGCCACCGCATGAGTTGTGCAAACCAAGTTGCGGGTGGGTAAGTATGATGTTTGCAAGAGCATGGAAAGAGTTAACTCGTTCTTCTGCATTTTTATTACAAACAACTGCACAACATTGATGATGGGCCCACATCAATGAATCCACATCGATTGTACAACCGATGTTGCTAGAAACACACTTTTTGGGACCCGCGGTGGCTAACACACACACACACACACACACATACGCACGTGTGTGCATTTATGTAACTGCATGGGTGTCGATATGTGTGTATACATATGTATATATATATACATATATATGTGTATATATAAGGTGTGTGCACTCTGTGGATGGAGGGATGTAAAGGATGGGTGGCACGATCGCTCCCAGATGTCACACAATAGCATGCCAACCAAGCGAGTTTCGACCCCGCCGTCACCCCTGTCAAAGAATGCTGTGCGGTGCACCCGTGCTGACGCGACAAGAGCGAATGGTATGACTCCTGCTCAAACAATACCACGCGGGCCACATGCGCGGGCCGCCGCTGCGGTGCAGCCGTGTTGACGTGACAAACGCGGACTGTATTACTCCAGCTGAAACAATACCACGCGGGCCACATGCGCGCGCCGCCGCGCATCCTAATCACAGACTTGGTCTGGCAAGACATTTGCATACACACCGCTCGAACCATCATAGATCCAAGTACTTTGCGCGCGCATTCGCTGCGATCAGTGGAGGACAAGAACGGTCATAGGTAATTGTACTACGATAGAGATCACTCGTCTTACGTGGCCTGAACATCGGGATCCCCCAGGACGACCTGCAGATGAGAAGCAAATAATCTGCGAGAGCGCGTTGCTCATGAGAAACATGATCTGCAAATCGCTGGGTGGCTGGCTGGCTGATTGACTGGGTCGCTGGCTGGTTGGCTGGCTGGCTTGGCTGGTGAGCCGCCTGGTGGTCCTCCAAAGAAGCTCTATGACTCCACAAGATCAAAACTGCATATGGGTAACAATAGGATGAGCCAGGTTGATATACTGATCCCCGCATGCGCTTCCCTGATGCGGTCGAGAGCTTTGGGGAGCCACCGTCGAACAACAGCACGATTGCGAGGCGACCTGCGATAGGCGCACTCGCGCAGCAAGTCGTGGCTCGGGAGACGACACGGAGCAGCGATGAAGAGGCAGAGGAGCAGAGGGGAGCGGAGACCTCGGAGACCTCCTGCAGCAGCTTCTGTGCGTCTGCCGCCAGCACCGACGCAGGGCGGCCAGTCACTGGGCACTCCTCCGCGGAGCCACGACGACGAAGACCACAACGAAAACCACGACGGCGACGGCGACGACGACGGCGACGCCGACGGCCGCCGCGGTGACGGCGGCGGCGGCGGCGACGACGGCGACGGCGACGGCGACGGCGACGAGGACGACGATGGCGATGACGGCGAGAGCGACGGCGATGGCGGCGACGACGGCGACAAGGACGACGGCGACAAGGACGAAGACGTCGCCGGCGGCGGTAACAGCGACGAAAACAACGACGCAGACGGGGACGGGGACGGTAACGGCGACGGTAACGCGTCGTTCGGCTCCCCTGGAGGAGGGAATCGATTCCGACGCGTCCGATTTTGTTTGATCGATTCGCCCTGGCTTTAGGCACGTCCCCAACAACCTCCTTCTTCTGATCTCCCTGATGACGAGTCGTGGTCGTCCAACCTTCGGGCCGATCGGGGGCCTCGAGTAACATCCGTGAGCCTCCGAGTCCCCGAGAGGTCCTCCGAATACCTGCGGAAACTGTCGAACGACTTCGAGCATCGAAGAGAACCGTCAGCCTCAACGACGGCGACGGCTCCGGCGACGGCGACGGTCAGTGCGACGGCGACGACGGCGGCGGCGGCGGCGACGACGACGACAACAACGACGACTGCGGCGACGGCGACGACCACGAAGACGACGGATGCGCGCGACGACGAACGCGCCTCACAGATCTCGACCCCCCCCGAAAACAGCTTCTCGCCACGGATCCGCTTCTGATTGCCCCAGGGCCCATAAGACGGCCCCCAGAGGCCGAGATGGAGGGCAGCCTCCATCGATCGATCCACCATCGATCCTCGATCGATCGGCGGCGGCGGCGGCCGCGGCGACGACGCCGGCGAGACGGCGTCTCCGGATCCAGCGCCGGAGACTGTGCCGCCAGCGCGGTCCGCCTGTGCGGCGCCCCAGGGCGCGGGCCCAGGCCCGACGCGAAGGCCTGCGGCGGAGGAGCGGCAACGAGTAGCACCCTCTGGCGGGGAGGCCCCTGACGAAAGTGGTGATGATGGTGGCCAGCGCGGCGATGATGATGACCAGCGCGGCGGTGGTGATGATGATGGTGGTGATGGTGATGGTGATGGTGATGGTAATGGTGATGGTGATGATGATGATGATGATGATGATGATGATGATGATGATGATGATGATGATGATGATGATGATGGTGATGGTGATAATGATGATGATGATGATGATGATGATGATGATGATGATGATGATGATGATGATGATGATGATGATGATGGTGATGATGATGCGACCGCTGCCGCACCGCGCCGATCAGCACCGGCTTGGCGCCACAGCGCTTGGCGATCCAGCCGCCGAGGGTCTGGGACCAGTCGCCGGCGCAGGGTGCGGCGAAAAGCCTGCGCCCTCGAGCTCGACGCCGTGGGGGCACGCGCAAGCGATGGCGGCGCAAGTGTTGGCCCTCGACAGGACGAGGCTGACGCCGGCCGGCCAGAGAAGGGCCACGATCAGCCCGCGCGTCGAGCAGAGCATTGGAACTACAGTCGGAGCGTTGACCAAAGGAACCCTAAGTAAGGAACGAGGCCCCTTTTTCCCATGAGTTGAACTTCGATTTCCCATGAAAGCCTCAGGAGAACCTGAGCCAAACTGTTGAACAATCAAGGAACACCGAGCCCCTCCCCAACGAATAGGGTTCCTTAGTCAGCGCCCCGACTGCACTCGCTGTCGTCTCACCACATCGCCCAACTGCATGCCCGCCGCGCCATTCGAGGCGTTGCGGACGTGGGGGTGTCGCTCTCCCCGCCCGTCTTGCCTCAGCGCGGCACTGCAGCTGGCACGTGTGACCGCAGGCAGGGCGAGGCAGGGCTGAGCTGGGCAGAGCCTGAGCCAACGGTAATGACCCCCTGCGCTACCGTCAACTTAAAAGGAACGCGCTGGACTATGGTCCATGATTGTGCCGCGATGCGGTTGCAGCGTAGCCGCGTACATGCATACATACTACATCCATGACACATGCGCATGTCCTACCTCGGCCCAATGAAAGTTCCTTGGATTTTCGTCACATCGCTCGCTCGCGGAAGCCGACGGAAGTAAAGCGAGGCGGAAGACGGCGGAAGGCCGTCGGAAGGCTTGCGGAAGACAGCGGGAGTAAATGACGCCCCGTCCGAAGCCCCCTACCACCCGTAGAAGCCTAGCAATGGGGTCTTCTGCCGTGGGCCGGGCGAGATCCCGCCTAACTTACTCCCCTTCAATATTACAACTTTATTTCAGCCAGGCTAGAATCCCACCCATCAAAAGTCTGGTAAACGAATATCCCAAGTCGTTCACGGATCCCGCCATGCTGGGATCGGCTCGAAGTACGTTTGGGCTCCGAAGTTGCAGCATTCCTGGCGTGTCAGGGTCGTTTTGAGGTCATCTTGAGATCATGCCTCGGTTATGCTTGGATCGCGCAGCCGTCGCGTGTCCATTCTGGGGCAGCCCTGGGCGCGCGTGGATCCATCTTGTTGCCATCGGGCCATCTCGGCGTCACTCGTGCTTTATCGTTTTGGTCACCTTCGAGGCGGCCTGAGACGGTCCAGAATCCATGGCGGGATCGTGCTGGGGCGGCGTCATCCCAGGGTCGGCTGGACGTTATCGCCTTTGGCCTCAGGCCCTCCTGCAACAATGTTGCGGCCATGGGGACGTTTTGGGATCTCGCGCGCGCGCGACAAGGCATCTCGCCGATAGGCGTGCGCACATCTACTTTTTGTTGCGAGGTTCCAAGGATACCTCTGTTGGAGCCGAGTATCCGCCACGGCGCTTGCGCCACAGGTGGAGTTCTGGGATGCTTGCGAACCTGGTGGAGGCCTCGGAGTGACCGGCGCGGCCGCAGCCTCCGAGATCCCATTCCGTGAACCAGGTGCTCGCTAACAGGGAGGAGGAGGAGGAGGAGGAGGAGGAGGAGGAGGAGGAGGAGGAGGAGGAGGAGGAGGGGAGCAGTCCACTGATAATGAAGTGACGTGCACCTTCCGTAGACCTTCGAGGCCCGCGGTGGCAGCCGAGGGGCCCTTCAGGGCCCACTCACAGACACCTTCCTGCACTCCTCGATCGCCCCACGTCTGATGGACCTGTTTTCCACCACCACCACCATAAGTTGGAGGGGAGGGGGTCCTCCTCCTCCTCCTCCTCCCTCCTCCTCCTCCTCCTCCTCCTCCTCCTCCTCCTCCTCCCCCTCCTCCTCGTCCTCCACCTCCTTACCCCCTCCAACTTATGGTGGTGGTGGTGGTGGAAAACAGGTCCATCAACGTCTACTCCAGATTTCGTAATAAAGGGAGGGGGATCTCATTTCGGGGGGGGGTCTCTTCCAGGCTATCTTGGAGGGCCTGGGGGGTCTGGGGTCGATGTTTTGGAGGGTTCTCCCACGGGGGAGGTCTGAAATGGCTTGTCTTGGAGGGTCCAGACCCCCTCCCTTTTATTACGAAATCTGGAGTATTGCCCCCGCCCCCACCCGATGTCGTCCGCCCGAGGGAACACATCGAACTGGCGCAAGAAGGTCACGGCCGGAGCCCTGGACCCCACCCTCGTGCGCCGCCATCCGCCAGGCTGTGCTCCAGGAGGACCGCCGCCAGGGCTCGGGTTAGGTCGGGCATGTTCCCCCACAGGCAGATTTTGGACCAAAAATACAAACACACACATATATATATACATACATATATATATACACATGTGTATATATATATATACACGTATACATATATATATATATATATTCCAAAATAACCAAACAGATTCGGAAAAACATCGCCAAACTATTGTTTACCATGTTTGAATCTTCCTCCTGTAGAAGGACAGGCCCGACTTCAGGCTCGGGCCCCCACGTGGTCGCGGCGCCGCTTGTGGCCAGGCGGTGCCAGGGGAAGGGCCGAGCCACCGGCCAGCACGGGGGGAGAACGACTGAGAGCAGCGGGTCCCGGACCCTCGGGCCCTCCTCCCCCCCGGACCAGCTCTTCATCCCAGGTGGTCTTCTCGGAGGAGGGCAACGCGAGACAACGGCCGTGAGACAACGGTGGCCCAATCGGCTCACAATCGGTCCCCCGGGCCCCTCCCGGGGTCCAAACGCACAGATTCCTCACGCTGCGTCCTGCCGTGGCGACGAGGAGGCCCCTCGGAGGCGAAAAAGGCAAAAACGTCATCCTTGTCTCACCCTGCCCTCCTCTGATCTTCTGACACCTCGGTGGGCCCTGGGAGGGCGGGCCCCGAGGGCCCGACGACGACAGCGAGAAGCCTCGGGACACGCTGCCCCGCCGCTTCCCCTCCGTGGCGACTGCTGCGCTTCGCCCTCGCACGCGCGTGGCCGCAGGCCGGAGGGCGCGGGGCGGGGGCGCGGGGCGGGGGGGGCGAGCCGCTGAGGAGCGGGCGCGGACGCCCGCGCAGACCGCGGCCGCGGCGAGCAGGGCGCAGGCGGCCCGCGCGGCCACCAGTCTGCGGCCTGCACCGCGAGGCTGTCGGTCTCCTCCTCCTCCTCCTCCGCCTCCGCCTCCTCCGCCTCCTCCTCCTCCTCCTCCTCCTCCTCCTCCTCCCTCCTCCTCCTCCTCCTCCTCCTCCTAAACCTTCTTCTCCTGCCTCTCCTCCTCCCCTCCTTCTCCTCCTTCTCCTCCTCCAAACCTTCTTCTCCTGCTCCTTCTCCGCCTCCTCCTCCTCCTCCTCCTCCTCCTCCTCCTCCTCCTCCTCCTCCGCTTCCTCTCGCTCCTCCTCCTTCTCCTCCTCAAAACCTGATTATCCTCCTCCTCCTCCTCCTCCGCCTCCTCCTCCTCCTCCTGCTCCTGCTCCTCCTCCTTCTCCTGCTCCTCCTGCTCCTCCTCCTCCTTCTCCTCCTCCTCCTCCCTGTCGCATTCCCCGACCTGTCGGTAGGGCGGGCCGGGTGTTTCGCCTGAGACTTTGTCGCCATGTATGATCCCGAAGCTTGAAATTCACGTCAGCTTCAAGGATGGAGCGTGGTTCGTTTCAAAATGCAGCTGGTTCGCCTATTCCCCCTTTGCTATTTCCCCATTCTCGTGGGCCCCGACGGGGGCGACACGAGCGCCAGGAGGTGAGAGAAAATCAGCGGCACAGGTACCAACCCGAATACCAGCTAGGGTGCCAGCTAGAGTACCAGCTAGATAGCTAGGTTACCAGCCAGGGTACCAGCTAGGGTACCAGCCAAGGCACCTGCTAGGGTACTAGCTGGATTACCAATACCAGCTAGGTTACAGGCTGGGTGCCAGCTGGAGTCCCAGCTAGGATATCAGCGCAAGCTCAGATACCGATAACAACTACCCTTACCTCGTCGCCACGGCTGGATTCACCTCGTGATTCTTGTCCGAACGCGACCCGGATGAGGTCCGGGGAGTAGCAGCATCGGTATCTTTTTCGTCCCCCCAAGGTACCAGCTAGGATATCGACGAGGACCAGGGTCAGACTCATCGGGGTCAAGATCAGGATCAGGAACACAATCGGCTGCATGCAGCTGAATTCGCCTGCTCCCCCGATGCCATGCCCCCCGTCTTGTCGGCCCCGCTGGGGGCGCCTCCAGCGCCAGGAGGGGCCAGACCAACCAGCCGCACGGAGCCGACGCTTGAATCCGACGGCTCTGGTCCTGCTCTGGCGCCTCGGCGAGTCAGAGTCCCTCGCCGCGCACGGGATCGGGTGGGGACTCGCCCGGCGAGCAACGGGGCCCTCGCCACTCGTCGCCCTCCGTGCGCACTCCGGGACGGTCCTGTGGATGGTGTCGCTGAGGACCCCCCCACTCTCCTCCTCGCCCCCTGAGAAGGGGCTGTGACCCCCTCTGGAACGCCACTCCTGCGTTCGGGCGGAGGGAGGGGCTCATCGACAGGGCGTGCCCTCGCTGACATCCTCCACATGGAAGCTACGCGCTGGGAGCTCCCCAGGTAAAGGGTGCTTCTTCGTAGACGGATCCCCGACCCCCGAAAGACTGTCTCATGACGCTTATAGAACTGGAACCTTCGCCAGTGAACCTCAACCTCCTCCTCCTCCTCCTCCTCCTCCTCCTCCTCCTCCTCCTCCTCCTCCTCCTGCTCCTGCTCCTGCTCCTCCTCCTCCTGCTCCTTCTCCTCCTCCTCCTCCTCCTCCTCCTCTCCTCCTCCTCCTCCTCCTCCTCCTCCTCCTCCTCCTCCTCCTGCGGCTCCTCCGCGCCAGACCTGGCCAGGTGGCGGAAAGAGCGAGGTACGAGTGATGTAAAGCCTTTTAAGGGAGGGGCTCCAGGGAAGGGGCGAGGCGCGCGAACCCGGGCTCAAGTGGCCGCTTCCCTGATATTTGTTCGAGTGAAGCGGCTCGCGGGCGCCTTCCATGGCCCGTTTCCTCGTATTTTTCGAATGGAGCGGCTCAAGGGCCCCAGGACGGCCCTCGAAGGCCACCCAAACGGCCCAAAGACGGCCCCAAGAGGGTCTCCGATGGCCTGATGGCCCAAGAGAGCCTCGAGGCAGATCCAGAGGCGGGCCCGCGAGAGGACCCCAGGAGGCCAAAAAACATTGATCTCGCTTGGGCTTTTGAAGGCTTGTCGGGTTCTCGCCTTTTCGGGCCCAGGCGGGCCCAACACGGCCCACGAGGCCCCCAAAACTCATCCCAGGACGGCCCCAGAGGCCCCCCAAAAAAGGAGCCGAAAACAGTCCAAGAGGACCTCCAAGCGGCCCCCGAGGGCCCGAAGAGGCGGTGTGGCGGCTGGGCTGCTTTGGTGTGGGGACCGGGCTGGCCCCAAGGTGGCCCCAGAGTCCCAAAACGGCCCTTAAGATGGCACCCGAGAGGGCCTCAGGAGGCCAAAGACATGGTTTTTGTTCTCGAAAGTTTTTCCAACATTTTTCACGCTCTCGCCTTTTCAGGCCCAGAAGGGCCTCAGACGGCCCACGGAAGTCCCAAAGATCATTCCCGGACGGCCCCAGGGGCCCCCAAAGGGCCCGAAAACTGTCCCAGGCGGCGCCAGAGGGCACCACAATGGCCCAAGAGGGCCCCAAGACGGCCCCACGAGAGCACCAAGATGGCCCCAAGAGGCTCCTAAGAGGGCCCGAAGAGGCGGTGTGGGGTGGGCTGCTTGGGTGGGGACTGGGCTGGCCCCAAGACGGCCCGAGAGTCCCAAAACTGCCCAAAAGGGCCAAACGACCCCCAAGAAGCCCCAGAGACGCCAAGTAGCACCATGGCTTCCCACAGCGAGCGGTGTCGTAACGAGCTCTGAACACCAAAGCTTCCCAGAGCGCGCTGGCGTAAAGCGCTCTGAACCGCAGGGCTCCCAAGAGCGAGCGGCAACGTACAAGTCTCTGAACACCAAGGCTCCCAACAGAGAGTGGTGACGCAACAAGCTCTCAACGCCAAAGCTTCCCAGAGCGAAAGGTGCAATGAACCATCTCGGGCAAATTCCTGCAGCGCTCTTTCCGTTACCGTGCCAGCCCAGGTCCAGGGGCCCCTGGCTTCGGTATCCAGGCCGATTGCAGCCACTCACCCCACGGGACAGTGCAATTGTTTGAATTCCTCCCTTAGCTGCCCCGATACGCAACACGCAACACGTAGCGTATTGATACGGAGCTCAAGACGTAGACTGAACACGCAGGTCTGACGCGAAACGTTCGCCAAAACGTGGGCCAATACGTTGAGCCAACACGCAACGTATTGACACGGACGTTTTGAACACGGCACGTGCTGCGTATCAAAACGGGCGCATCGAGGCAGCTAAAATTCCTCCTCTTCCTCCCCCTCCTTCCTTCCTCCTTTTTCTCTTCCTCGTCATCATCATCAGCGGCATCATCATCACCACCACCACCATCATCATCATCATCACCATCACCACCGTGATAATCATCAGCAGCATCAGCATCATCGTCACCGTCATCGTCATCGTCATCATCACCATCAGCATCATCATCATCATCACCACCACCACCATCAGCAGCATCATCATCATTAGCATCATCATTGTCAGCAGCATCACATTGATCATCGTCATCATCAGTATCACCAGCATCCATATCAATATCATCATCATCATCATCATCATCATCATCATCATCATCATCATCATCATCATCATCATCATCATCGTCATCATCGACACCGACACCAGCAACAGCATTGTTGTCATCATCATCATCATCATCAGCATCATCATCATCATCGGCAGCAGCAATAGCAGCAACATCAGCATCAGCATCATCATCACCACCACCATCATCATCACTTCCACCATCGTCATCATCATCATCATCGTCACTAGGATCATCATAATCAGCAGCAGCATAATCACCATCATCAATAACACCAACCTCATCATCACCATCATCATCAGCAGCATCATCATCACCACCACCAACACCACCACCACCGTCACCATCATACTAATCACCAGCATCAGAATGACCACCACCACCATCATCGTCAGCATCATAATCGTCGTCACCATCATCATCAGCATCATCATCAGCATCATCACCATCATCATCACCATCGTCATCGTCGACGTCCTCATCATCGTCATCACCATAATCATCATCAGCATCACCATCACCATCACCATCACCATCACCATCACCATCATCGTCACCATCATCATCATCATCATCATCATCATCATCATCATTTTCCCCCTCCCACCCCCTCTGCATCACCCTGAGGCCACCACCACTGAGGCCACCACCACTGAGGCCACTCTCGCATTCTCTTCCTCACCCTGAGGCCACCACTACTTCGCGGCCTGCACACTGGGCGGCCAGTCGAGACTCGAGGATTATCTTTGAGGTCGGACTCCGATAGACAAAAGACGTGATTTTGATATCGGATTCGACCTGAGGTGGTCAGGTAGTTCTCAAGACGTTGGTGTCTACCGACATCAACCTCAAGAAACACCAAACTCTCTCATCAGCTGACCCCTCACGAAACATCTGTATGGTGCTGTGCCCTATCACAGGCAAGCTAGACATTGTTGATGCGCGCACATGTGTCCATATTTGAACATACGTATACGTGTTTGGAAGCGGACCCATACAACTCAAGACACATAAATCAGAACATTGCTCCCATCTGGATTTATACATATCCAATAGTCGGGTCACATGCAGACGTTCAAGGGGAATATATGGCCGCGGCGACGAAAACTTCGTGAAGGCCCCCCAAAAGAACAAAAAACCTCCGTCGCCAGTCTACCCTGCCCCCAGACCTTCGATGCCGTGACGTGTGCACAACGTGCACTCCTGGAGGCCTCGGCACCTTCCTCAAGGCCGGCGTTGCATCCCAGAAGTGTTTGGCAATCTTGGCGCCCGAAAGTGGCGCCTACAGGCCGAAAACACTTAGCCTTGTCTGGCGAAGGGGCCCACCCTGCGAGTACCGCAAGACATCTATGGACTAAGGGAGGGGGCTAGCAAAAGGACGCAGGCGTGCGTGAGGAGGATGGAGCGACGA